TAGAACTCTATTGTTTATAATGTTATTATAAATAATAAAAGAACTTGTGTTAAAATAGGAAATAAATATTTTCTTATCTGATATAACATCTTAAATTGTCATTTAAAAAAATGAGGAGAAGTTACTTTAATTTGATTAATAGGCAATGCTTTGGAAGAATGAATTGTTACACACTGTTCACCATTTGTATCTTTGATAAGAACCTGTGAAGGCGAAACATATTTCGTCTGAAAGCGTCCCTTCAACATGGAGTGTTTTAGACAGCAATCAACAATTAGCACTGCACCGCATAATGTACCCTGCAATGATATCTGCAAATATCCGTCATCTTCTTTAACATATCATTTAGTAATTTGAATCTGAAATGATTAATGTTGCAAAACTGTGTAATTTTTAATCAATGTAGGATGAACTGTTCTGATGACATTGAATTATTTCGATGAAAAGCGTAACTGGAATAATATAATGACTGTTTCATGAAAATCATGTTTTTTTTCTATTATCATTAAAACCTTAAAATTATACGGAAGGAACAAACCAAAGCAATAGTTGAACTATCTGGACTCCATGTTAACGCACTAATTGTGTATAAGTGACGAATCTCTAATGATTTACCTTCATCCAAAGCACCTCGTCGAGAATTCCATGAATAAAGTCGTACTCTAAAAAAGTAACATTTATTTACTAGTTAATACAGTATGTGTAACTGTTAGTTTATATGTGAAGGTTTTGAAACAGAAATAATATAGAAATATGTTTGAATTAAAATTTGAATTAACCAATTAGATATTATTGTAATAACGTAAAATTAAAGTATGAAATTGAGATGAACTATAGGAAATCATAAAATGCTTGAAATTCAGACAAGGGATGAAAAATAATAGAAATGAAAGCGAAGAATGAAGATTAGTAAAGTAATTGTAATTAAAAATGAAAAATTATAGCAAACCTGTCAAAGCTTCCGAAAACAATACTTTGTCCGAATGAATCACGAACAGCAACAGTAAATTCCTTCTCGTGATCTGATCCATTACGATAATCAAATTGTTGTAGTAATTCGCCATTTTCTGTATATGACACCACACGCTGATCACATCCACCAATTACAATACCATTATTTGTATACACTAATGCGTACGGAGGGCAGCTGTGTGTCAGAATTTTTCTTTGCATTTTTCGATCTAACGAATATGAAATGATGGAACCATCACTGTGGCCAGAAATGAATGAATGACCATCAGGCCTTAAAAATAAATTTTAATCACTCATTTGATAATTTCTACAATTTTCAGCAATATTTAAAACAAATACTAATTTAAAATATGACGAAAAATTCATATGAAATAGTACTTACAAGGTATTTGGAAAATGTTGCATATGAAATAAATATTTAACTGCTACAATACCTAATTAATTGATTTGCTTTTATTTAATATTTTATTTCTGAAAGTTAAATTGGATTTCAGAACTAAAAATGTACGATTAATTAAAAATCTATGATTAAAAATTCTACAATCTTAATATTCATTCTTGCTATTACTTTGAAACTATAAGAAGTATAAAGTAATGTTGTGAGCTGAACTGTTTTCAATGCATCGATATTTTTTCATCGAACTAAAAATCTTGCCAATCATTCTCTCATCGGCATTACATTCCAGTCAATTATTTTTTCAACAAACTAAAATTCCAGTCAGTTTAAGAATTTGCAAATTAAACTTGGAAAGAAAAGAAAATCCACTTTGTTTTAAGCAAATACTTCTTACTTTCTTATCCTACAATAGATTTTATATGGTAATAAATAGAAAAATGAGAAAAGCAAATATAGACAATTTTTATGCATAGAAATTAAGTTAGAATTTATTCATATTTTAATTAAAATTATACAAGAAATATTTTTAATCATTCCACAAATTTATTTAAAATGCATTATTCAATTACTTTGTCTCCATACGAAAAAAAAACAAGAATTCATAATTCATGAAAATAATTTAAAAATAAAAATAATAAAATTCTTACGGAACTGCAAGAGAGATGACAGATACATCGGTTTTATACAAGGTGGAACATTTATTGCTGCGACATGATGCAACTCTTACTTTGCCATCAATTAAGCCAATTATCAAACGATCCTCACTTGGCCATATTAATGCTATCACTGCTGATGATTGAACAAATTTATTACATATAACTTTCTTCTCATCCCTAAATTAAGAGCAAATTGCTAACGTTTATATGTTATGATATTGCATTAATGCATACTGTAATATATTATTGAATGAATGATGATTTAGCCAGCGAAATGAGTAGATAAATTCATTGAATTGACACAAATCACGTACCACGTTTTACCAATTCGATAAACGTAAGTAATGTTATCAGTCTGACCAATAGCAATACGAGTAGAATCGGGTGAGAAAACTAATGCTTTCACCTGATAGCTCTTCTTTCCATACTGTAAACAATGCACATTATCACTGAAGCGTTTCGTTCATATCAGTTAAATTTATCGATGAAAATAATCGCTGATACTTATTCAAAATATATACAACACATATTCGTATTTCTTTATTTCAATTTTAAATATAATTTCATATTTGCAGCGGTTATTTAAAGATTAGAATAGAATGGCACCTTAGCATCGATCGGTTTGGTAGCAAATTTATCACGCCGTTTTCCGGTTTCATCAAATAACAGTATAACCTGATCAGCATTAGCGACTGCTAATTTTTTGCCATTCGGTGACCAATCCATTGCTGATATTTTGGCTGTTCCATCCTGAAGTGATTGTTTTATGGGATTTCTGATAATCTTTTTTCTCATAAACATAACACACACAAAACATAACACATACACATATACTTATTCAAATTAAAATATACCATTATTATAATGTGTGGAATTTTTCGGCTAGAAAACTATTTCGATATTTTCAATAATTGAGTGAAATAGGTTTTTAAAACTGCATCATACTTCAAAATATCTTTTAGTTGAAATCACTTTCATCATTATATTGCAAACCGACTTCTCTTATAATAATCCCCGGAAAAAATAAGATTTGCGTGGAGTGGAATGAACAAGAAGGAAAGAGAAGGAATCTACAAAAATTTTTCTGACTCATAAACGTTTTGGTACATTTGATATTTGATCGCCAAATATTTGATTATCAGAAATTGTTTGAAGACGTGTATATTCAATGATTATTTTAATATGGAAATAACAATACAGACTTCACCGACTTCGTGACACTTTTTGTTGATTATACCATAAATAGTATAGTGGAATTAGTGAAAACATAAAACTTTTGGGAAGAAGAAAATGGAGGAGAGTACCTGTTGTTCCACAATCGTAGCTAAATACCGCAAGCGCATCTTTTCGAGAAAGCTAAATCATTTGATGGAGGTATATGTTGAACTTTTCGGAAACTAGAAAATAAGATCTATAGCATTCCAGTGTAAAGCTTAGGTGATTCGCTTCCTTCCAATCCGGTTGGCATGGTTACCCACCACAATGTCTTTTGTATCGATGCCAATATTAATTGCAGATTCAAGCATTTTATTTCAATATAGAGAACAGTATGTTAATACAGCACTGATTCAAAGAAAAGAACAAAAGTTAGGCTTGAAATGATATAACAGCTGGCTCAGACCGAATCCCGTGATAAGGATTTCTCGGATAGAAATGACAGTAGGATTGGGATTCCGAATAAAAGCTAATCTCGTATAAGATTTATGATGAGCATCTTATCACTAATAATGTTCACATTA